CCAAAACATTAACATTTTACACACAACACCAACAATTACAAGGATTTCCCAATTTTACTTATCAGTTATCCATTACATCAAAATCATGAACAATCCCTTAAGGTTCAGATAAAAATTTGGGGGGTGTGTTTGGTTTGTGTTTGTAGAGGAGTTCTTGAGATAAAAAGTACAAAAACTTGTTTGGTTTGCCTTTTTTCAGAAATGGTTTTGGAAAATTGTTTTGGGGAGAGAGTTTTTAAAAAAAAAAAGTGATTGATTTGATATGTGTGAGAGAGAGAGTGATTTTGGAAAGTAGGTAACCAAACAAAATTTTGAGATTTTTTTTGAAAAATTTGTTTGGTTTGATTACTCTTGAAAATTTGTTTGTAGAAAATTTTTCACAAAAATTTTTCTGAAAAACAAACCAAACAAGGCTGGGGGTTTTTCCTTTCAAATATTTTTTTTCTCAACTCAAGTATGTTTACTCATTATTTCATAGTTAATTTCACAGTCCACCTCAATTTCACACACACACTTTATCACACAAAGCCTATATATATATACATCATCTCAATAGTTCCAAACATCTTAGGATTCACACCTATTTAGACCAAAATATAAATATACAAGAGTAAAGGTATTCCTACATCAAGGTTATACGACAAAAGATAAAGGTACACTCTATGAGCTTCTGAAATACCACGATCTATTTGGTTCAAAATGTAGCTCTTGACGAGAATAACAACTTTAATGAAGGTTGAAAGATCGATTCTTGCTCTTTCTAGATGAAGTCTAGGGTTTTCTAACTAGGGTTTTGGAAAGAGGGCTATTAGAGAGAGAATGAGAATGAAAGAAATGATTTGGAAAAGTGCTTGGATCGCAATATAACTCTACTATCCCGACCAGACCGCTCGAGCGAACTTTCCATCGCTCGAGCAAAGTGCCAAATTACAAAGGTACCGCTCTAATGAACTTTCCACCGCTTGAGCGGTAAACTCAAGGTCTCAAAAGTTTTGTAGAGTTACAGTGAAAATACTGGGAGCTCACATTTTCTGCTTGAGTGGCCATTCCTTCGCTCAAGTGGTCTAGCCTGCAAACTTGCGAGATACTGGGAGCTGTAAATCTCCACTTGAGCGACCAAATGACCACTCGAGTGGTCCTCCAAAACTAATTGTTACAACCTACCCCCCTTAAGGAATTTTGTTCTCTAAATTTCATGGTTCCTGCCATAAGATAGACAACAATCCCTAAGAAAGATGGATATCACTATAACAATAGCCTCAATCATCACCACTTCTCAAATCAAAACAAAATCAAAGCTAACTTCAAACAAATACATGGAAATTTAGAGTTCTTTCATTTATCTCATTTTACAACCTCCTATACAATGATATAAAATTTACAACAAGCAAGTTTATAAGTCATCAAATAAATTCAGATATTTCTCCCGAACTTCAGCTTCTCGTTCCCAAGTAACTTCTTCCACTCCATGGTGGTGCCATAACACTTTAACTAAAGGAATGACTTTGCCTCTCAAAACTTGTTCCCAGGTTTCCAAAATTTTCATCGGTCTTTCTTCATAGGAAGCATTCTTGTCCACCTCTAAATTTGTCTAATCCAAGACATGGGATCAGGTTCATACTTGCGAAGCATGGAGACATGAAACACATCATGCACTCCGGATAATTATGGTGGCAAACCAAGGTGATAAGCTACCTCTCCTACCCATTCTAAAATGTCAAAGGGGCTAATGAACCTAGGTGATAATTTTTCGCTCCACCCAAATCTCGTTAAACCCTTTCTAGGCAATATCTTCAAAAATACATAATCATCTACATCAAAAGAGAGGGACCTTCTTCTCCTGTTTGCATAGCTCTTTTGTCGACTTTGAGCCGTAACTAACCATTTCCGAATGAGAGCTATTTTCTCAATGGTTTCATGAACTAATTCCGATCTAAGCATAGGTGAATCCCCAACCTCAGTCCAATACACTGGTGACCTACATGGCCGACCATACAAAGCTTCAAAAGGAGCCATTCCAATACTAGCTTGATAATTATTATTGTAAGCGAATTCCACTAAAGGTATGTGTCTCTCCCAAGAACCTTTAAAATCTAGTACACAAGCCCTCAACATAACTTCTAAGATTTGGATAATGCGCTCGGACTATCCATCGGTTTGTTGGTGGTAAGCAGTGCTAAAGGTCAATTGAGTACCCATAACTGTTTGTAGGCTTTGCCATAACCGTGCGGTAAAATGAGGGTCTGGATTCGAGACAATACTCACCGGCCCATGAAGCCGGACAATCTTTTTAACATAAAGTTCTGCCAGATAATCAACTGAGTCTCCCATACACATAGCAAGAAAATGAGCCGACTTAGTTAATCGATCCACCACCACCCAAATTGCGTCATTACACCTTTGTGTTCTAGGGAGGCCCAAAAAAAAATCCCTAGTGATATGTTCCCACTTCCATTCCGTGATAGACAAGGGTTGTAATAACCTGGCAGGTCGTTGATGTTTTTCCTTGACTTGCTGACAAGTTAGACATTTGGACACAAATGAAGCCATATCCCGCTTCATACCCCTCTACCAAAATTGTCAACTAAGATCATGGTACATTTTTGTACTTCTCTGCTACATTGCAAAACAGGAGTGGTGAAATTCCCAAAGTACCTCGTATCTACGCGATTTAGGTACAAAAAGGCGATCTAGAGAGTACTGGATATTCGATTCGGAATCTACCCTCAAACGCTTTTCCCCTTTACCCTGTGTAATTTTTTGCTTGATTGGTTCAACTTCCAAGTCACTTCGTTGTGTCTCTATAACCCACGTGACAAGTGTCAGTTGTGCAAAGACGAAAAACAAGGTGACATGCTCAGAAGATTCACTAAGATGCAAATCAAATTCCCTCAAATCACGCAACATTTCCCATTCCCTAATTGCAAGATTGGCAATGGCACTCACTGATGTTCGACTTAAAGCATCTGCCACAAATTAGCTTTTTTGGGATGGTAGTGTAATTCAAAATCATAATCCTCCAAAAAATCCATCCACCTTCTTTAACGTAAATTCAAATCCTTTTGGGAGAGTAAGTATTTAAGGCTTTTATGATCTGAGAACACCTTAAATTTCTCCCCATACAAGTAGTGTCTCTATAATTTTAGAGCAAAAATAACTGCAGCTAGCTCTAAATCATGAGTCGAATAATTTCTCTTGTGGGTTTTCAATTGGCCAAACCATATGCTACAACCTTACACTACAACAAAATTGAGTTTTTACGGCTTGCAATGCATGCCGTAAAAACTCTTTCACGACATGCACACAAATGCCGTTATATGACATGCCATGGAAAGTTGATCGTCATTTACGGCATGTAGGTAAAGTTATAAAAAATAATAAATTAAACATTAATGACATACTTTGTATGTCGTATATAATTTTTTTCGACATTTTTGTCATGCCATAAATCATCATACTTTCCATGACATAATTTTGCATGCCGTAGAAGGTTATTTTTAATATATTTATGGCATACTTTGCATGCCGTATATAATATTTTACAACATTTTCTTGCATGTCATAAATCAAGACACTTTTTACAACATAATTTTGTTTGTCGTAGAAGGTCATTTTTAATATATTTATGACATACTTTGTATGCCATATTTAATCTTTTACGGCATTTTCTTGCATGTCATAAATCATTATACTTTTCATGACATAAGTTTATATGTCGTAAAAAGTTATTTTTAATATATAATATATATGTAAGAATATAACCTTGCCTAACAGTATGTAGACAGTAACTTATAAAATGCAACCTGTGAACAAACCAAACAAAAGCAACAACTATGAAGTAAGCAAAGAAAATCTAATATCCATACACCAAACAACCTGCATACTAACTTACATCCTTAACTTCTATCATATCAAGTTGATAACAACTTCAACATGCAAACCAAGAAAAGTATCCAAATCATAAGATTCACTAATCTCTAAAATACGACTTTAAACATCCAAAAAGCATAACTACAAATCGTAAATCAATTAGTCAAATATATAGAGTCTCCTGGAAGAGAATCAAATTTTGCATGGTCAGGAAATTGAATTCCACAGGTTCAATATGACCTGATTGTCCCTTGAAAACTTGACATGCTGTCATACTTGCCATCAATTCAATCAATTAGTCAAATATATAGAGTCTCCTGGAAGAGAATCAAATTTTGCATGGTCAGGAAATTGAATTCCACAGGTTCAATATGACCTGATTGTGTCCCTTGAAAACTTGACATGCTGTCATACTTGCCATCAATTCCATGGAGTTCATTTTCTCTATGTTAAAGATAAAAATTTAAAAAAAAATGATGTCAAGCATTAACAAGTTACCTGAATAACCCAATTCTTGTCAATTGTTGTGGGACTATATTACAAGGATAAAAGTTAATCTCAAAAAGAAAAAAAAGAAAAAAAAACAAAACAAAACAAAACAAAACAAAAAGATTGCTATCAATTCATCACATTATGCACTATAACTTCAAATTAAAAAAATCAATGTTAAAGTATCTTAAAAATCCAGATTAAAATTATGTGTATACAACAAACCAAGCAATGAAGGAACACTTAATGCTTTGCACAAAAATGGAAACCTTCAATGAATATTATTGGGCAAAATGGCAGAATTTCTATACCAATTAGTTCGATGAATATCAGCAGTGTGTTGTACTCACTTGTAGAATTGAGATGATAGTAAGTGATTTTTATGAGACAATATATATCACCACTAGCATGTCAAAGTTAGAGATTGACCCAAATATTACTTTAAATGTGTCACGACACGACAATGGAGAGGAAATGTGCTTGAGATGAACTCCTACCATATATATTTAAGTCAAAATTGTCCAGGTGCATGGTAAATGCAAATAAAACATAGTTCAAAAGATTACTGACTTGACCTTAAGGATGTGATACAAAGAATAGCCAACGCTGAATGACAAAAACAAAAAATAAATTAGACAAACCTTCAATGAATATTGACCAACTGGTGCAGTGTAGGTTATCTTTCCCATAGAATCAGGAGGAAGTGCAACATGGTGCTGCACTAAATTATTCTCAAAGACAGTCTGCATAATGATTTACCCATGGCAACCTTAGATGAAGAACAACAAAGTAAAAATGCTAGACGCATATGGCAATAGAATTTTACAAAAAGGACTTTTAAACTTCTGTAAACTAAGTAAAGCATTGTTAAACTTATAGCATATAAGTCTCCCCCTGTTACAAGATCTCTCTCACCTGCCACCAACAGATGACGTTAAACTATAAAGCATCAAGTCTTTCTAGCTTTCTAATGTAAACAAAAGCCATAACAATTGGTTCTAAACAACTAAAGTAAAATGCTCTTTGATTACCTATTTTTTTAGGCTGGAATTCCCAAAGGGTGTCCTCCTCAAGGGCCAGGACAAAGACACAATGAGGGATATACACATCACCAGATCGCTTTGCGATGGTCGTTAGAGACCTCTGCATTATTTTTAAACAATAAATGGATTGTCAACGGGTAAATGTCCTCCTTAAGTCAGGTTAATAATAAAAGACCCAGTTACAGAGAGTTTTTGTTTAGACAACATTCAAGTTGAGCAATATGAAGAAGCATATATTTCAAAAACCTAAATACCATCAAATATATTCCCCAAGATTCCAGGACCCAACTCCACCGACAGAGGCTGTAATGTCAATGGACAAGATAAATGTTAGTGCATTTAATGTTTGATCTATAGCAACTCAAAAATTCTAACAAAAATATTGTAAAAAACATAACAAGAATACCTTGTGTGTTCATAAAATAGGATCATTGACCGTCAACCCAGCTGTTTCTTCATACACTAAGATGATATATAGACAACAAATTATTGTCAATATTAAGTTGTTTTAGTTCCACCATGTACAAGATAATAACTATAGCTACAAGAAACTTGGTGCAAAGGGAGAGCGACAGTAAGAAATGAGACACGTTAAATCAAAAAAGACGATGATGTGCATTAAAGACCTACAGGGCTCAATTAAGGCCTAGGGTAAAAAGCTCTTAACAATATTTGTAGAATTTATATACATAGATATAAGCTATCATTAATAAGCATTCACAAGTAATATATATATATATATATATAAAGAGGGGTTGTAGAATGAATATAGTTATCATCACGTACCAATGATTAATATTTTGACCCTACATTTTCTATAATCAATATTTTGAGGACACATCTAAAATGATTACCTTGGATTGTTGTAGAATCTCCTTTTAGACAAATAATTTCCCCAATAAGTTTGTCGTGTCCAACACGTACCAATTCGTACATAGCAGCCCCTGCCATTCCATCTGCAACAACGACTGGTCTTGATACCTGTTCAATGAGAAACTAAAATGTTAATATAGTCGGAGAAAACATAAAAATATTTAGAATCGGTTATATCAAATTGGCATATTTGAAATAAATAAAAAATTAATCAAAAAAATTATTAGCATAAATAAGTTCATTGGAACAAAATCAAAAGAACAAGTTCATTAAAAAATTGAAAGGCCTGACTATATTCAAAGCCATTTGTTGTTGGTTTGATACTGTACTCAGAGGCTACTTGAATCATCTTGTCCTAGATGTATCATTACACATTTCTACTAACATATGCGTTTTTGCCTTGTAAAAAAATAAAATCATCAAGTCAATTTCATGGTTTCAGAATCTAAAATAATCAGAATCAATGAAAAAAAAGTAACTAGTGAAAATCTATGTAAGCAACTTAGAAACATGAACAAATATCTGAAGTAAATCCATAATATTAATTTTAATATCCTATACAAAAACGTCAAAATAAACTAGGAGGATTAGCTTCAGTTCCCCATTCAGTCAACTGATAAGGAATGTGCTAATTAGAAAACAGGGGAATAAACTATTACTCTACAAGCAGTGCAACATCGTGCCTACAAGTTAAGTTGAATTGGAGACCCTAATCAGATCTTAAGAATACTATTACAAATCATGAATCTTAACTAATATTTATACAGAGATAACTGACTGAATCAGTCAAAATTATCCCAATAAAATTAATCGTATATATGAAATCGATCAAAGTAAGCAAATAAAACCTTGAATGAAATTAAACAAGTAAACAAGGTGAACAAAACATTGAGTAAGCTCATAGATCAGGAAAAAGTGGATCAAATAATCGACATTGAAAGGGAAAAGAAAGAGAAAGATAGATCGAAGAAAGAGGGAAACCTTTCAAACGTAACCGTACTCGCTCTCGTTCTCTAAATCTTTGAAAGTTGTCAATCGAGCTCCGTATACGAACAACATTTTGTGAGGCGGATCAAAGGAGCAACTGAAATCAAAAATCTAAACTTCAATTTTGTAGATCAGATCGTCAAGGAAACACAAGGTTTCCAATGGAATCCCTAACAAGCTTAATGCTTTGCACAAAAATTCCAAAAACAAAAATGGAAAGCTGGCTGTAATGTTTAAAATGGGCCTAAAAGTAAGTATGATCAACTCTACTTCAGTCATCCAATGTCTGATTCATCAATTCTATATTGCTCTAACAGGCTTCATCAGATGTCCTTTATGTTCATAAAAAAAACTCAGTTATAGGGTTGGTTTGGCAATTGATGTGGATGTTGTTTATGACTATTCGGGAAATTCCCATTAAAGGCTTCGCGAACTTGGCAAGCTGCAGAATATTTATGTCAGTAGAGGCCCAATCAAAACCCAAGTGCATAATTCGCTATCAAAATACAATTTGACAACCATGAGCTTTTGTCCATTTACAAAAAGTTGAAAAAGATAAATAAAGGAGTAACAGGCTTATGAAAAAAACATAATGTGTAATGGTCATAATAGTTAACCTCGAGGAACCACAAAAAAGTTAGGCAGCAGAACCACAAAAAAGCTCGGTAGCAGAATATTTTAGTAATTAGCGGTATGAAATGGAATAAGGGTGGCATGGCCCAATGGTAAGACTTGCCAAATGAAAAGGTGTTAGAGAAACTTTTAGGCTTACTCATAAAAATAAAAATTTCAAAAGTCACGGGTTGGAGCTCACCAGTTTATCAAATAACTTCCTGATTTAGCAGCCAACTTAAATAAATAATAAATTTAAAAATAAAATAATAAATAAACAGCTCTAGCTCAGCTAGTGTCAAAGCAGGTCTAGAGTCTTACTGCACAGGAAGAAATTTCACCAATGGGGGTAACAAAGGTATAGTTGGACATGTCAGCATAGGAAACAAATAAGAGGATTAATTTCAAGCAGGTTGAAGTCAGTAATTTAGCACAATATAAACGCAAGGGCTTCAAAGCATTAAGCATTCTAAATTAGATATTTATTTTTTCTGATGAAATAGCATTCTTGTTTTCGTAATCTCTTCCCCAAGAATCTCATATTAGTTCATCAGGCAACCGTTTTAACCATGCATATAAGCCATATATTGCACCAACAATAAACATCAATAAAGAAGGGAAGTGCAAAAAACATCATAGCTAAACTCCACAATCCCAACTAGGTTGGCATCAAGGAGGAAGCACAATTATATGGTAGCACTAAACCCACAGATTGACGAGAAACCAATCCAAAACAGAGAAACAAAAAGAAAAACAGTAAAAAACAGACCAACCACACCGCAAGGACAACCATCCAACTCTGCCAACTCCTTCCCTTGTAAAATCTTCCAGCAACTTCTAAACAATACACCATCAAACTCCTTGCCACAGGAAGAGGCACCAGTATTTAACACCCAAGGTAGCAACAAGCAGCACCAATAGACAGCAGCACCAACAGCACCCAAGGTAGCAAAACAACAGCTATAACAGCATGTCAACCCAGCAAACATCAGCAACAGCATTTCAACCCCGCAAACATTAGCAACTGCATGACAACCCAGCAAGCAAACAACACAGAAGCTATAACAGGACTGCTAACAAACTGATAAGTGCACCAAGTACACAGCTACAGCAGCACACTACTACTGCAAACTGTTACTACACATGACAGCAAACACCAGCAACAAGAGAACCAGCAACTATAGGACCAGCAGCAGCAGTTCATAACAGCAAAAACACCAGCAGAGGGCTTCCCATAACAAGACCACAGCAGTGGGACTACGCACCCAGCAACTGGACTACACACAGCAACAGCAGGACTTGACAGCAAAACCAGCACAAGGCGTCCCAGAACACTGCCACCACAGTGCCCCAGTAAACACCCTTCATCTCAAGCAATGTCTGACCTATGAACAAAATCATGCACTCCGTACTGCACACCTGGTAAATTGTTCTTAGCCCAAAATGCAATCCTCTAGTTGAAGAGGCGACTTGGGAACGCGAGGACGAGATGCGCGAGAAGTACTCACATCTATTCTCATGATTTACTCAGGTTAGTTTCGAGGACGAAACTTTTTTTTTAGTGGGGGAGAATGTGAGAACCCAAATATAAAAATTAATATACGAGTTTATTTCCGCATGTTATCTCTAAAATGGAATTAAGTAAATGAAATTGGTAATACTCCGAGTAATAAAATGTGGGGCGTGACAATAGCCTGAATCAGTATCTATAGGGATATACAAAATCTTGAATGGAAGACAAACAGACATACAAAATCAATTAATATACCATAATTCCGAGCAATAAGATGTCATAGTGGTCTTGTTCTTTTTCAATGCTTCGTCTATAGATAGACATGTGATAATTTTGTATTGCATGAAAATCATATCCATGTTGGGTTTGTTTGAAATCATGAGAAGGAACCTAGGGTTGGTTGTTTGAAAATGGTTATTTTATCATTGATGGTTGTTTTGGGCTAATTGGAGTGTAAATTAGCATGTTGTAGTTGATAGAAGAAAAAGCCCTAAATTATATTTTGATTGATAAATTAAAATGGATGGTAGTTAACCTATGTTGGAAATCTCTATTATTATTGTGAGTTGGGTGAAGGTGTTAATGCCTAAGGGATTAACCATGGTTGTGGAATGGGTTTGAAATGAAGATAATGGACTAATATGAGTTATGGCTTTATTATCCACAGATTTGGTTTTGTGACAACAAAAGGGACGGAGTTGGTTTTGTGAAAACAAAAGGAATTGGAACTTGTTTTGTAAAAGGGAAAAGTATTTTTGAAATACAAATGAAAAATTGGATTGTTGTTTCTTGAGTGTTGAACACACACATGTGAAGGATTGTAGCTTTAACTACCATGTTAATGATGTTGTTGGGTTTGTGGTCTCATAGTAATTGAGTCTTTAATAGATGTACTAAATATTTGCATCTAGAGGTTTTATCCTTGGTCATCGGTGGAGGATGACACGGTTGTGTTGAATTGTCGTGTATGCATTTTACCATTGTTGATGGAACATCGTATGTGATGAAGTGTTGAGATACATTATATATGTATGCTTGCTCGGGAGGAGGTAGTTATGTGTTCATATACTTTAACACATTGCTTGTGTATCTTGACGGTTTGTGTATATGTGTTATACATGTTGATTATGCCCTGTTGTGTTAGGTTGGTGGTGTTATACTTTGCGCTAAAAATCAGAGGTACCGTGACCTTCCAGCTAGCGCCTGGAGAACTGACTGCACTGAGAATATAAGGCACCATACCCTTCCAGCTAGCCGCCTGGTAAACTGGCATGTTGTGTGAATAGCGTGTATCTTTGGCTTACTACGTACATAGCTAGTAGAAGCAAAGTTTTGTTGTTGATATTTCAGTGTGTCTGGGAATATCATGGATTGTGTCAGTTCAGTTTTGGAGGGCCGATTGCCTCATTTGTTTTATCTTATGCATGTTGGTGAGTTGTTTTATCTCCCTTTTTTTTTTTTTTTTTTTTTTTTTATAACGGTGCATGTATGATTTGATTGTATCGGGAAAGAAGCCAAAATGTCATTTTGTCTTTTGGAAAGTATGAAGGAGAACGGATGTTTTTAAGAGATATATGTTTTGAAAAAGGTATATCTGTGTATGTTTGGAAAATGGAAAA